CTTGACGTCATTGAAGGACCTGACGGCCTCCTCGGTCATCACTAGTGTCTTCTTGGAGTGGGTCAGCAAGCTGTTGAGAGGCTGCAGTATGGTGGCACCATGGGGAAGAAAACGGTGATAGTAGTTCACCATCCCCAAGAATCGGCGTAGTTGGCTGATGGTTGTCGGGACGGGGAACGTTGATATGGCCGAATCTTTTTCCGGGACGGGCTTTATCCCATCTGAGTTCACTTCGTGACCAAGAAAGGTAAGACTGGGGACTCCAAACTCACATTTGGCGGCACTGATGATAACGCCGTAGGAGTCGAGCCGTTCGAAGAGCTGTCGAAGATGAATCTCGTGTTCAGCAGCGTCAGAACTAGCCACTAGCAAATCATCAATGTAGGCGTAGACGAAGTCGAGACCTCGCAGAACCTGATCAATGAACCGCTGAAAGGTTTGAGTGGCGTTCCTCAGACCAAAGGGCATACGAGTAAATTCGAATAACCCAAAGGGAGTGGTCACTGCAGTCTTCGGAACATCACTGGCCTCGATCGGGATTTGGTGGTAGGCATGCACAAGGTCGATCTTAGAGAATATTCGCTTACCATGTAGCGAAAGAGTGAAGTCTTGGATGTGTGGGACGGGATACTGATCGGGGACAGTCACAGAGTTCAACGCCCGATAGTCACCACACGGTCGCCAGTCGCCATTCTTGGGGACAAGATGGAGGGGTGATGCCCAGCAGCTGTCGGACTGTCGGATGATGCCGAGCTCAAGCATGTGATCGAACTCTGCCTTGGCGATCTTCAAACGGTCCGGAGCAAGACGACGTGGTCGGCAAGATTTGGGAGGTCCATTGGTGGAAATGTGATGGGTGACTGTGTGTTTGATGTCCACTTCACGAAATGAGGGGTTGGTTAGGCGGGGAAACTGCCTGAGGAGTGAGTGGAAAGGACAGTCAGAGATGGGCATAACAGTGAGAGGGTTGACGCAGGGGTTCACATCGGATTGACATCGGGCATGAAGGTCGGTGATGCAGTCGACGAGTCGGCGATTCTTCAACTCAACCAGTAGATTGAAGTGAGCTAGGAAATCGGCACCTATGAGGGCGACGAAGACGTCGGCAATAATGAAAACCCATCGGAAAATTCGACGAAGGCCCAAATCAAGTGTGATGGAACGCTGTCCAAATGTGGGGATGCTGGAGTTGTTGGCAGCTGTCAGACAAAAAGAGCTGCGGGTTTTACGTTCGGCCGGAGTTGGTGGAACCACGCTAACCTCGGCACCAGAGTCGACAAGGAATTTGGCGCCAGCGATACGGTCCCAGAGGAACAAACGGCGAGTGTGGAGATTGGCAACGCTTCCAGCAGCAGTGGACTCTACTGTCAGGTGGGATCGTCTGCCTGAGGCCGTTAAAGATGCCTTGAAAGAGCATGGCTGAAGACATCGTCGAGCTGCTCCTCCAAATTGTTGGTGATACCAGCAGACGATACTTGAAGATTGTGAACGGCGGGTGTGGGAGACGGAGGAAGTAGGGCGACGGTTTGGTGTTCGCCGCGGGCCGTTGGTGGTAGCTGTAGTAAGCTGGGCTTTCAGGCGCATTAATACTTCCTCGAGCCGATCCAAGCGTACGCCAGCTCCTTGAGAATTTGGGTTGATGAGTGACTTCTGGTCTTGGGACATCGCGCTGTAGGTCGCAGGAAGATTGTTGTTGTGGACAAAAAGTTCGCGGAATTCCGGTGTTCGGAAATTAGGGGTCACCAATTTGTGGCAGTCAAGGATGTGAGATCAACTTAAACCACGCACAATAAGTTCTTTTCGTCTACTGTCAGACGTCAGGGAGCTGTGAGGACTAGTTTATTCTGTACACAGGGCAGGTTGCCGTAAGTTGGCTGTTTGCTTGCAACAGAAATAAGCGTCCGTTCACGGAGAGCGTCAGTCGCGGTGTGTGTTGTTTACGCGGGTGTGAGTGTCTAGGTCAGCAGGAGGGAGTGACTGTCTGAGTGGTGGTCGTGTGATTGGACAAATTAGAGGACGAATGGAGGGCGCATGCTCACAAGGCCTCACGGGAATCAAGTTAGAGCGTTCGACGCGCGTTAGGTGATACTAGTGTGTGAGGGCAGTCGGGAGTCGCTGCAGCTGGACCGGAGGCGTCCCAGTTCTAGCCGGCGGGGGTGGTCGTGCGTCAGCGGCCTGTCAGTGCTTGTCACGGCCATCGACCGACAAAACGGAGCCGGAGAAAAGGGTGGCTGGATCGACTGCTACATACTTGCACTACTATTCTTCAGTACGTCTTTATAAAGCTACCCTAGAGGTACTAGCTCTTGGCCCGAAGTTTTCTATTGCATGGCGGATACCGAAACAGTTAGGGCTGAAAAATCCAAATTGAGTCTCTTTGGTCAGACTACAGATCTAAAATCTACCGAAGCGAGAGAAGGTGATTGTCTTAAGTCGACTCTGGTTAACTGATGCCACCAGTATATTAGGAGGGCCCGAGAAACAAGGGTCCCTTGACAAGGACCCATATCAGTAGTCTTAGGGACTTTTGTGAAAACAAATACATTATGCTAGCCAGATCGGATGAAGGTTCAGGAGTAATGCTGATGAACGAAACGGGCGAAACTAGAGGAAATACTGTCGGATTGTTCCAAGTTTTCAAAACTTGAGAAAGATATGGATCGCTTGGAGGCTGTCGATGGTCATTTGACGACTATTCTCAAAGGTCTCTACAAATAAGCTCATTTGTCCAGCAAAGAGTATGAACGACTGAGGCCGGTGGGCCCGATAATACTAAGAATGTATGGCCTGCAAAAAACGGATACCCAAAGAAATGTATCAACCGGAATATTCGGACACGCACTGTAAAGCCTACAATTAAAACTGTAGACAGTAAAGGCGTGCTTATAAAATTGCCTTTTCTGGGGGACGCAACAAGCAAACTAAGAAGGCGACTTCTGACGACAACGATTGTGAGTGCCTTATAGAGTCTGCCCTTAAGCTTGTAAGGCAGAGGCTGACCACCGCCGAAGGCTGCACTGGTGTACATTTACTCATTCACTTGCTCATGAGGAGTAAGATATATTGGCCGTACAACGGGACGCCTGGAAGAGATAGTGTGCGAACAAATACCGGCCTGGCTGGGTAGAGGTGAAAACAAATCGATTTCGAGTCCTATGCGTGCACATTTCGCTAATACACATCACCGAGTGGATGCCAAAGAGGCCTTTCAGATTGTCTGTGGACACCAGAAAGTTTCTCTAAAGGCCGGTGCCAACAGGTGCTAGCTACGGCCGGGTAAGTGGCTATGCGGTCAGCAAGTCTGTGCTGTGTTGTCAGAATACGTTGACGCAGGCGCTCTGTCTCCCGTGGTCAATGCCCACCCCAGCTGGTCACTGCAGGCTGTCGAACCCCCCGCTGGCAGGGACGTGTCCTCCACATACTCGAATTAAATATACCAATAGCGATCTATGTCATGCTCCTTGACCTAGTAACTATGACAAGCCGACCTCGTAATGCGGATGGCATGGGAACGGTGAGTGTTAGTAAGCTCTGATATACCTATAACCCCAGTCAATTCCTCGTATTTTCATTTTCTGTTTTACTGTATGGCTCTGATGATGAAATACCGAACACTTGCGTTTGCTACCTTGACTTCTCAAGTGTAACATCGGAGTATTCGCACAACTTCGGGAATAATTTTTCTATTCCATGACGTTAGACATACCTCTGGATCTCCCCAGCTTTGCAAACCAACCGGTTATTCTACATCTCTTCCCGCTTCCGCTGTACGGATTGTCGGCATCGGAAAGGCGCGGCTTTGTTTATGCTGCTGTTGGTCAAAGTGTAGGTAGCCTCTAGACAGTGTTTCTCTGGAGGAAGGGTCAGAGTGCGGATTGTTTCGGCATTGTCATCAAACTAGTCCTGGTACGGACGGCGTGCGTGGCCGAGCTATTCAGTTGCGGTGACCCAGATGATGTCTAGCAGTTCCGTCCACTTGGTCTCGACATTCGTACACGCCTATGGGTCTGTTTTGTCCACTTTGGGTTTCATGGAGATGCTCAACTTCCGCTGGCATTCAACTGTGTCAATGCAGTACTAATACGGTATTTGACCTACCTCGTGATAACTTACCTTGGGGCCGAAAGCGCATTTGCAGTTGGAGCCTCGTCTTAGAAGCGATAAGGCAGCAATCCGTCCAAAAGTCAATATCGCACACCGCCCTTATCACAAGTATGTCACACTTGTTGCGCTTTCAGATTATGGCATAGTCCAACGAATGCCGATGACGCATACGAGGTTGTAATCATGTCAACTTCTCTCGTATTGAAAGATGAAGAAGGTGTTTATCTGGAGGAGGTTGGGTCCCACACAGGTCTACAGGAGAAGAAGGCCATTGCAGCTGCTGATTCCATGGCGACGGAGCGCTTCCTCCCATCCAGCGTTTTCTATGTCGTTAAGGGCCTTGAGATCACCATAGTCTCTCCGCCCTCTGTACCTTTGTTACGAGGACACACAGTTCTCCGTAGGACTTGTTCTTCACGTCATCGGAGATGATTGTTGAAGGGGCATGGTCGCTGACAATGGTAGGGAATTGGTACCGGTTGAATGACAGCCTCGTGTTAATAGTAGTTTTTAAGCGCCCAGAGGCCAATATCTAGGCAAAGTTAACACTGAGTCAGTAGTGGTAGACCCATAGTAAAACTGACAATTGGTGTAAGACCTCGACACTCCACTATGCACAACAGAGTCTAGATGAGGATTAAAAGCAAAGGAAGCGGAGGTAATCTAGATTGTGCGCGTCACCATGACTCAGATTATTTCCCTAAGGGTTTGGGACTGCATTGAGTTTTTGAAGTGCACGAGGCATGGTCATGACACATTAATTGGCAGCCTATGTTATGCAGGTCAGCCGTTTCACGACATGGTAAAGGTGACTCCGAAATTCGCTTACTCTTTGCTTGAATGTCCGTTATAGAGGAAAGCGTATCGGGCATCGAACTCCCCAGTTGTCGCTGGCCTAAGAAATCGACCCCACTGACAGCCGAAATGATTATTTTATGGCAAACTTATTCGCGCGAGATGTAGGTCGGTTTCCTTTATTTACGGTTTCTTACTGGTTTGTCTAGAAAGAGACGAACAATACAGCCTATCACAGTGAGCAATATCCCTTTGACGGACTGTGTGGAGGGCATGGGAATTTGGACGAGGGTGGTTGTTGTTGTTATGACCCGCCTGGTACGTGAAATCCTGTGGAGCGTATGCGCACTCTACCCTTGTCCCCAATACCAACGCGGCAGAGAAGGAGAACGCGACCGGCCACGAAACTATGTATGAGGAAATTGCAAGTCACAATTAACTGGAAGTAACGCGTATTTATAACGCCCTACGGTGCTTCGCCGGCGTTCGGCCCAATGCCTTTCGGGAAGAATATTCGAGACGAGCCGGTCGATAATTCGAATATGCTGATCGATCAGGCCCGAGAGGAAAAGCCAGTGGAGAGGCGTCACGAGTAAGATGCCAGCGCAGTAGAGAAAACGCACGTGGCCTCCAGTGATTGGCTGACTCTTGTTTTTGGGAGTGTAGGCGCTCCCAACAGTTGTCTGTGATGTTTTGAACGCAGCTTTCGCTTCCATAGGCCACGATCGGCTTTCAGATGGCGTGTTTGTCCAGCAGTTGGACGAACCTCCCCTCTGAAACTACAACTTAAACCACTAGGACACCACCCCTCGGCAAATTCAGCACAGTCCGTTTGTAGACCATTTGAGCTTGGCCCACGAGCCTATATATCGGCTACCACCACTGTCCCAGGACTCTCAGGCATGACTGGACGGAGTTAACACCAGCCCTGACTTGGTCAGCGGCCACTGCCGCCTGAGATGACAACCCAGGATACTCCATACAATAAATCCACCAACTATTCATTGAGTTCACCTTTTCACAACTTATTCGCCACAGTTCCTAACACTATAGTCGTGCTCCCACACTCAATCCTAATAAGGGTCGCCTATGCGACAAATCCGTACATGGCAATTGATGGCATCATATGTACAGCATGGTATAGTTTTCAGTACATGATTGTCCAACATCCACCAAAAAGTGCCAGTGGACCTGGTCTGACCGTACAACTACGACATGAGTCACCACCCACGCACTTCGTACGCCCCAATATTTTATTGCCTGTATGACAGGACTAGATGGCTCGATAGTCATGTTTATAGATGACATCAGACGATGTGAAGCAATCGAATGAGACAGTGATGACTGCGACCTGCAGGAAGGACTTCATTGACGATGAGAAGTGGTAATAATAGCAGACTAAAGAGAAACGCTTATACACAAGCTAAATACATATTTGTTGGAAAAATAACACTGAAACAGTCAGGAAAACTCTGTAACGTCAAATTAACGCGGGTGCATATAATTACACGTCATTACATATCACTATCATGTGTGCCCCGGTTCCAGTTATAATCTTCGCAGTACTCTTTCACGCAGCAAATATTGTGCTGAGAACAACATTTTAACACGCGTTTTCAACCAGTCAAACAATCAATAAAACAGTTCATTTGGAGTTTATACCAGAAACCCTTCAAAACTCCGTTTAGGCGCACCGACCTGCCGGGATCTAAGGGCTAGTTGGGTGGTGTTCACCAAGGTATCGAGTCAGGCACCTTCCGTTTTTTTACTATGCATTACTGATATTTCATTAACAGCTAAAGACGCTTAGTCCTGTACCGATTATCAATATTTTTATCATTAATATTATTAGTACCAATGATATTATTTGAAATGCGCGTATTCTTCCCTTAAAGTCCAAGGCCCAACGTTGCTTTGAACAAATTTCCTCACACCGATTTTCGATTTCCGAGTGAAACTAAACATGCCTAATTTACTCCTCACCTTCAAAATGTCGTTATATGTTTCGGACCCGGATAGCACGTTCCAAACAGTGATTTTTGACAGTTCTCCCTTCGTAGAATGCCCAACTACCGAAGACTTATTTTTAAGGCGCCTGAATAATCTAGAAAATTCGGTGCACGCCGACAGAATTCCTGTCAGCTCTACTCACACTTGTGGCTCAAGTTATTATGAATTTTACCGTCTTGAGATAAAGTATTGTAATTATCATGTCTTTACCTTCTTTTGTTTAAATAGCTGTCACTTCTACGACTCACTGAAAGCTTCTAGCTGTTCTAAATTTGAAAAGGCTTTAAAAAGTTGTACAGGAGAACTCTCATATCAAACACCCCTAACTGCATCCCACCTAGACAGCGGGTGGTCAACTTTCCTAAAATTGCTCTAGGTTCTATAGGTGTAAATTAGCCTCTGTCTCCGTTTGCGCACTAATAAGAGATCCACCGTGGCAGAACTCTCTTATCTTCTTTTAAATGTTAAGAGTGGAGGTAACAAGAAGTAACAAGGCGTCTCAAACAATTTTTAACACTCTCAGACAATTGAGGCTGCTCTACAACAACGCATTCGTTGTAGTGTGCTAACAGCACATCGTTAAACTCGTCTGACTACGCAGACACAAGATAAGGCTCAACTTTCAATGAGAAAAAGCAGTAACTGAAATATAATTTAGGCACGAAAATTTGCATGCCATTAGTGTTTCAATGTTGCTAAAATACAGGAGGACCTCACTATGTCATAACTAGGAAACTCTGAGCGCTTCAACGCTCACTCCCTTAAACGCGTTGCCATTTTTACAATACAACGGTACATACATTATGGATAAGTTTTAGTCTAGAACCAAAAAGTTCTCAAGTACTTAGGCAAATGAAGCATTAAGAAACCTGAGGGTACCTTACTGCTGTCGAAATGACCGCGTTATCAACGTGCCAGTCATGTGAATTAAAAATGAAACATGGCAGTTAGCTTGCCGTGAGCCTAGTTATATTTATGAATTTCTTCTGAGTGTCACAGTGCTCCTAAAAGGTATTCTGGCAGTTTCGACGCCTAAAATTAGATTACTTGTTATTTCGAACGAGCGAGTTTGAGGGTTGTCTTACAAATCCAGAGTTTCCATTTTGGACGTCGGTATGTAAGTCCGTTTTCCAGCGTTTGCTTTTCGGTATATGCGAATGTCTGTTAAAATGGAAAGAAATATATTTAACGTCAGAATTTCGTTATTCGTACGGCCGGGATATAATGCGTTCCATGGACTCTTTTCCCACTCTGCGTCCTCCGATTTCACGAATTAGGTTTTTATGTGCTTCCATGACGTTGCGCTTTTTAAGCATCTTAGGTGTGGTTTCGGTTTCTGGGTCCGCCCTTTACCTTACTGGTACCAAGGGTATAAGCCCTGACCAAAATGTTCGCAAACCGCGATGAAGCCCTTAAGTGCATACGCTTGGCTGAAAAACATATGCGGGAAGGCCATGCGGAGACAGCCAAAAAGTTTATCCGCAAAGCTGTGAGGTTGGATCCATCCGTCACACTCCCACGTAATAAATAACTTGTAATATGATCTTTAGCGTTTGCAAGCGGCTTGTCTGACGATAGCACGCCCCCTCGTCGACGAACTCCAAGTAGGTCTGGGGAGACCGCATCGTCAAACACCCGGGAAAGTTCACAAGAGAGAAACTTCACAAAGGCAGATATTGAAGCCGTTAGATCTGTCCTAACATGCAAAGATTTATACAAATTGCTCGGCGTGTCGAAGGAAGCATCTGAGGATGAAATAAAACGTGCATACAAGAGGTATGATCTTTTTGTCTTATTCTCTTCCGAAGTTTGGCAAGGAAATTTCACCCAGACAAGAACCGCGCACCTGGGGCCACGGAGGCCTTTAAGAAGATAGGATCTGCATTCGCAACGCTTACAAACTCTGAAAAGCGTCGTAGGTACGACTTGTACGGCAGCGTGGACGAGCCGGCCCCGTCTGTCACTCGACAGCGTCATGGCGACGTGTTCTACCAATTTGACGCCCATCCAGGTTTCGATGGTGTGTCCCATTGTTTTGGAATTTTACGATGGCTGCCTCTTAAAAGTCTGGATTATTTTCAAGCTACTATAATTGCATTTTATCAATTTAAATGCGTAAAACGGGTAGTCGTCTGTTTTCAGTCCATCTTCTGTGACGCCTTTTCAGCCTGCACTCTTACCGTTCGGATTTTACTCCCATGAACGTTGTCACTTGACCTATCTTTAAAGTTTTGACTTGACACGTCCGTCCAGCACCTGTCGCCTTCGGACTGATAACAGATCCTGTGGTGCCCCCTAAAAGCTTTCGTTTTCTGGTAGCCGGGCCTCCGCGTCGTACTCGTCGTGGTTGTCGTATTCATCACAACCACCGACAGTTCGGTCGTTGTCAGCGATGACCGACCTCTCCACAGAATTATTCCTTGATTGATGGGTAAAGCATTGATGGTTATCCACAAGAGTGTTTCCGAATAGGTCAATGTAGTGTATGAGAATAAGACGATTTAAGATCTGCAATTCATCTAATATCAGCATAGTTCAGTCTGGGTCAGGTAATTATGTATTGATCCTGAAGGCTCTCTTGATAGTCGCAACCCACGTATTTTGCCTTTCGAGCCACTCATTACCTTTGCATCTCTCACAGTGTTGGCACCAGTAGAATGCCGCCTACTTGTGGCAATACTGTTACTTGCACAGGCCTTATTAATCCGGTTATTCTCGAAGAGCAGACGCTAAACTTCTCTAGACATTTAAATCGTTGTCTGTTTGCATATTCACTAAATTAGGTGACAGCAGTGTAAATAGTATAGCTCATTCTTTTTCATGAGCTCAAGGCATTTACACCCTCAACAGCCTGTATATACTCCCTGCTGGCTTTCCTTCTATAAATGAAAGCTGTAATGCGCTCGTTCGGTTTTGTAGTACGGCGTTGGGGTTCTCTTTTGTTGTCTTCTGACGTCTTCTTGGTCGGAGGCACAATTGAGCCGATTAGGTAGCCGATCGTCCGAAATTCGACATCACACGTTGCTCTCGTCACATCTAAGTCACTATTTTCACTCTATGTTGAGCACGTACTCCGACGACAGCCAGCGAAGTAAGCAAGGCTGGATTTACATTGTCTTCCACGGCTTTGGTGGACAGAAGACTGTTGGTCCTGGTCGGATTGTATTCTGCGCATGTCTCCAGCAGCAGAAGTCCGTTGTTATTGCAGTTAGTAAAGCCGACCAGGCTCCCTCTCCCATGTACGTAATCCTTTCTAACTGATGGAAGCCACCGTGAATAGACGTTTCGTCCCTATCCAAGCTCCAAGCTCCGTGATATGAAAGTTTTCTTGACTCGGTCTTGACACCGGACCCTGGTGGATGAGGATAGAGTGCGGTAGATGCTGCCCGCGTCCAATATCATTATAAACTAATTCATGCGCAAGTCACCGTTCCCGCTCTCACCCTGCTGTGGAGCACACGGTGGACATAGGCGACAACGTCAGTTGAAATCTCCGAGGATAGCCTTCTACTCCCAGCTGTGCTTGTTCAGAGAAGCGGGTCTCACTGGTCGGCAGCAATGTCTACACTGTTTCTGAAGCGTTCGAAGGCAACCAGAAGGTCCTTCTCTCATCGGTTATATATGATAACAGGGGTCAGCCCAATCGTCAGTGTGACCGAAGTCTCGCTGGCGGATGGAGGATGGGGATTACAACGTCTTTATCTGCCTCGCGTGTTTTGTTCAGCCCGCCCCCACATTGACTGTGCTGCTGTTGGGTCAGACCAAACGGGAGCCATAGTATCTCATGACATTCACTAGTTTGAATACACGGAGTCGACGTTAATCCCCAACTACCGTCCTACATCCAGCTACATACTACATAGTAGGTAGACGTCCATCCCTCGTCAGCCACTTTCCCATCGTCCCCGGTGAACCTGACTCGGACAAGCTCATTTTGACAGTGGCGAGGTAAGAGACTGTGAGGCAAATCCACTTCGGATCAAACACTTAATTTCTTCCCAAACCAACCGAACGCGCATGGGAACTTCCACCTTGCTTCAACATTTAAAATTTGAGGGGTCTCTTAACCATAGACTAACTCGTCGTCCTTTGGAACGAATCCAAACTATAACGGTTCGTTGGTACGGACTGTATAACGCCTCGATTTAATTGGATTGTTCAAGCCTCGTGTGTAGGAAATCTGGGACCAGTTCTTGCGTTCTGCACGTAGGCTAACTGTTCAGCCATGTCAGCCGCCGCACCCACGTCCATTTTCGATCGTCTTCATTTTACCTCACCACGGGCATACGGTGGTCGGGGCAAGATTAAAGTAGATTCACCAATTAATAATCTCACTTCAGGCAAGTTAACACATAAGCCATAACCTCTCCCACCTCGCGGGGCAGTGGGCGACATATTCTCGCGACGAATAAGCCACTATTATGTACATCGGTCACGGTCAGTTGTGTACATTACATCAACTAGCACTTGTTTAAGGCGTCTTTTCTAGACCCCTCCACCGGAAGCGTGTGAGCGGTGGGCTGCCGACCATGTCTGCATAGACATCCCAGACAGCGGCCGCATCCCGATGTATCCCTTAACCATTGTAGTGGGAAAACGACATTCAAATTGACATGAGCTGCTGACGAGATTGCATCTTGTCCGCTCACTAGAACTCTTTAAGCCGATTGAAGGGAGTCGAGTGGTGAATATGCTTTGCTTTTGAAATCAGAGTGGGAGGGACTTGCGCAGCATCGACCACACTCACTCCAGTCTCACCACGATCAAGTGGTAAGTCTGCACAACGATGCCTGAAACTGAGGCGAGACGCAACGACTGACCTTGTCCAAGTCTCGCCCAAGCGTGCTACGCGACTTCCTCCACCTAGCTTAACTCGCCAACCGAAACAGTTATTAGGTATTGGCAAAATTTGCTTCTGTGGTCTTATGCTCAGTGGCTTTGCTTTGCCCGTTGTCAGATGTTCAGAAAGCACTTGATTCTGTTCCATACGTTTATTGTGGAAAATGGCTTCTGACCATGGAGATAACTGTGCTATTTTAGATGTGCAATCAGTTCACAAACTGACATAGTTTGTTACCGGCATTGAAATAAGGGTTAGCCGTCACATGTGTGTAAGGCTTTGACGAATTTTTAAGGACGACACTCCCGTTCACGATTGTATTTCTTTTTAACGTATTCTCCTGACTGCCCAATTAGATGTGATCACACGGAAGAAGACTGGAACGCTTATAAACAGGAGCAGTTCATTCGCCCTGTTCGGTAGTTGTGGTTGGTGGCCCCGCCTGTTGAATGCCGGACGAGCTGTCTACATTGAGGGGGGGGGGTTATCGTCAGTATATTATATCACATTTAACGCGGCCAAGCCATATTAACGAGCAGTCAGGAAAAAGTGTGTCCACACCTTTTACGCCCGATCATGCTTGCAATTAAAAAAAACTGCCAGTATACACGATCTCGGCCGCCAACCGAGTATGCAATGCGAAGCGCTTACCCTCTCTGTTTGGGGAACTGCAACTATCACACCATCAATTAAATAAGTTGCAGGGTCTTGAATTGTAGTCGGCGACAAAACTGCGTACCTGCTGTCTTCAAATCTTCTTACTGAGCCCTTCACTTCGTCTGTTTACACTACAGTAGGTGGCTTGATAACTCACAAATTGAACCTCGTAACTCGCCTTTACTCCCTGCTGACTAAACAGAACGAGCCATTTCCAGCTGGACCATCGCCTCCTGCGGCAATTGCATTACTGGCCTCCGTAATTAGGGGTTGATCACTGAAACAAGTCATTCAAACAAACTAAGGTTTCTCCAAGAGTCTGTCACAGTTCGACTGTCCATATGCAGTATGGCCGGCGCATTGATCCAACTACTGCGCACCAGTGCAAATTGTGTAAACTCTCCCTCCAACAATGGTTCCAATTGACGAAGCAGGTGTAAGTGCCTCGTTACGGCAGATGGATCGAACTCTACGAAAGCAGTTTGCATTAAAGGTGCCCCAAAGATGCGTCAGGCTGCCGTTTGTTGTTGGTTACTACTGTGATAGTGTCATATGCAGTCGGATTTCGGGCCTTATCCGAAGCAGTGTCGGGCAGTCAAACTCTTGGGAAGCTGACGACACCGGTATGCTGGGCAGTGGATGCTGACCTTCGAGGTATAATCATTCCAATGGCTTCCGCATAATACTACAGGGGCATAGTTGCCTGACTCCCATGTGTTGTCGCCTCCTCGGATAGTAAGACAATGCCGCTGAGTTGTCTGATTGGTTGGGGAAGAACTGACCCCCAACCCTGGCGTAATGCGTCAGATTGTGCTTTGTTCAGCCATAGTCATTAATGTCCTGGCATTACTTCCCTCGTTTATGGCTTTCGTTGACCGTATAACTATTGTTTGCTCACAGGATGCTGGAACATATTTAAAACGTTTGACCAGTGCTGCTCAATTAAGCAGACAACAACTTAGACCATGGGTCCTCAAACACATTTATAATAATAATCATGGTTATTACTATCTGGCACGGACAGAAGTGATTTTATATACAAAACCCTGAACCAGACAGAAAATTCAGTTCTTTTGCTGTTGGTCTCAACTCCTAATCGGTTTTTTCTGTCCTATCTGGACCTGTCTCTCGACCGCCGACGTATTTGACCTCCCATGCCGCGCGTTTCTGTCTCCCTCTTGCGCAGTGGGGTATGCATTAAACATTGCTGTTTTGCCAACCAGCGTGATTCCAGTACGTCTCCCAGCCAGTCTGTCCAACAGGCTTAGCGCCGTGCAGTGTTGATTAGATGGGCACCTACGGTCGTTACCATTGTGATTGTCAAATATGCCCAGACTCCTGCAAATGTGTCGCTCCGCATGGTAAAAAGCAACCTAACGACCGAGTGGCTTGGAGTGCCGAACTCGGCTTATTTATTCTCAAAGGAGCTAAGCACAACAGCTCGACAGTCGCATTCGGTGAGCACAAAACGGGGACTTGCGCGTAAATTAGTTTATGGTAGTAGTAGACCTGCAAGACAGAGTCAGATCGACCGGTGGCGGGTTCGGGCGAGCTAAAAAACGCTGATGACTTACCAACCGAGGACTCGTTTATATCTCTCTAACTTCAACTATTGGTACCAGCTAATGCCACTTGACGCAACTTCATTAATGCCAGTGGAGACTAGAGACTGATGCAATTAATATCTACACTGCATCACAAACTCCAATTATTAGACCAATCGTTTGATCCGGATCTTGCGTACTCCCATTCACGCCTTCCCTCATAAGGGGGCCCCTGTGTATCCCTCCTTCCCATAGACAGTCGGTATGCTTTGCATAACCCGTTGCGAATTTCAGGCAGCACAAACCATCAAATGTCGCCGCTGCTATTTGCACACATGCAGTAGCCTTCTCTGTTCCATGCGAACTTACCTATCTTCGCCAAAACAGATGGTTATTACAGGCATGGTTATCTCATCAGGATTAGCTGTGAGAATGGATGCCCTCGATGTACATCTTAGGTTTTCAAGTGTTAATGTTTAGAATGACCGCGGGCGTACACGACCCCCATTTTCCCGGAGGGGACTCATTGAACCCCCAACAGTTCTGCTAACCATTGATTCTGTTGGGTCCCTACTAATACGGCGCCCGTGTACGAAAACTTATGGGCAACATGTTAGGTCAGAACGCCACCGATCTGCCTGCTGTTACAAGTGTTAATCCACGCACCTCAAAAGTCCCCAAAATTTCCGTCATTTTAACCCTTGATTTATCTGTCTTCTTATGCCCGCACGAGGCCGAATTTTAACCGCCATTCCAACTCTTCCAATTGACAACGAGATTCTTAATTTTTCTATTTTGGATCACCTCCGTTTCTTCCATCCGTCATTGCCCCTTTCATCTCTTTTTTAGCCGATGTGTTCAATATCTTCTTCAATGGGGGATTTCCTTTCGTTTACCGAAATCATCGTGCCCAGACTCACCAGCCCAGAGAATCCGAACGTGAGGTGCGCTCCTTCTCACAACCTCGTCTGTTAGATGCATCTTGTATTGTCTTTATACCCAAACATCATGTTCTCAGTGGTACCGTAGGTAGTCAGTTTTTCGCGTTATGAGTTTAGTGAAAATTGCGTTCTCATCCACCATATACAGTTATCAAATTTATTTTTTAAACTGCACTTAATATGGTGAATAGGTGTTTTGGCAGCTTTTAAATGATTCACTTTGACTCAACTGTGAAAAAACTCGGCGCCTCGGTGGAATTCCAACCCGCGACAGCAAGGACAGGCTTTAGTTCAGCCCTCCCTTGCTGTCGTGGGTTCGAATCCCTCCGAGGCACCAAGTTTTTCACAGTCGGGTCAAAAGGACTTAGTATGGTTATGTACTTTCTGCCATTAACTTTGGTCTCGCCCGAAGTCCCAGGGCAGAGTGCACAGCGTGTGTTAACTGCATGTGAGCGCTGACTGATCTTTTAGGTTGACTGTTCTCCACGCCACCCAATAAATGAGGTCCTCGAATTTCACAGTCAGCCATATGTTTCTCGGACCGGCCTGATAAATAGTTTCACCGCCTTCACCAGGTCAAACACGCATTACCGAATGCCGGTTTGGGTCACGACGCCCCTCATCTCCCTCAATCGTGACAATGAACACCCGCCTTTGTCCTGCCTTTATCTAGTATAAGAGGACGCCAAACTGCTGGCGAGGTGTGCATTTGACCGTCTTCTCACTCCAGCATATTTGTCAAGATGGAGTCTGCACCGGGCGAGAAGGCGACCGGGCTATACTTCCATGCCAAGGTCCTTATCAGCTTAGTAATTATGATCCATGTTGTTGTCGTCGGTGCTATTTTTTGCAGCTGCTAGATTGAGCTTAATGCCAGTAGTACGCACACGTTGAAGCCACAGACACCGCTGGGGTAGTTCGACCAGCCCGTTCTTGTCGGATGTCCCCTGAATTAGTTGTAGCCTTGATCGGGGGCAGGGGGGGGGGACGAGCGTCGGAAGTGAACTTCGTTTTTGGTGGGTTTTGGGCCACCGTTGGACTCTAGACGATGGAGCAGTACTGTTAGAATTTACCATCACTCGCAACACGTTATTTGGGTCGCTTGCGATGAATGCGTCAATCATCGAGTCCATGACACGTAGAAAATCCATTCTCCAGCCAACAGTGCTGACGAATTCAAAACCAAACCATTTGGTCAATAAAAGTGCATGTGAGAGATGTCACCACGTCATGCACACTTTTATACATGCTTATAAAACGCCGAAGTCGATCATCAGTTGCCGGCATTCGCAACAAACGTCCTAGCCTAAAGGCGTCGGGATTCAGCAGCGATGTGTGTTCCAAAGCGTCAGATTTTAGGTGTTGGGCCCCAGACATTCCCTCCACTGTCAGCACAATCAGCGTATATTGCAGTTGGATAGATTGTCCCTCAAGTAGTAGACCTGTTTGTCATTTCAATCGAATTTTTGAGGATGACAACCCATTGTTTTTGTAAATAACACACGTGTTGTTATGGTTTACACATTTAATGTCACACGAAACATTGCCCTAAACATGTCATTCACAGTTTTACTTTTTGGAGCATTGTTTCACCTGTGTTCCTCGACGACACTTTTTCTGACCTAAACCAGCGAACTTTTCAAGCGAATAACCGCCTTTTTGACTGCTGGCTTCAGTTTGTGCTAACATCCTCTTCTATGCCTTTCATTTCCAGAGTACCTACTTGGCATACGTACAGATACTGCCACTCCTGATTCTCTTTGGTCTGTCCTTCTTCAGTAACTTATTTGTCAAGGATGCGCCCTTCAGCCTCACGCGCACCACGTAGGTTTTCCTGCTCTCCCCTGACCCCCTCTCCCAATTTCCTTTTATGCCTTTAATGGCACCTTGATAACGAATACCTTTTTGCTAACCTTCAGCAAGTACCCAGTGGAACGAGTGACCAACCAGCATCAAGTTAACTACTACGTGAAACCCACCTTTTTGGAGGAGTTCGACGGTAACCTCGCACACATGGAATCGCAGGTTGAAGAGCAGTATGTCTACTACCTGCGTGATCGATGCTATAAGGAACAGAGCCAGAGTACGTGATTAACAGGCCTCTTGTTTTTTTCTTCTTGCAAGGTTTCCCATGACGTAACTGAACCCTCACTTTACCCGCCCCGCACCCTACGCGTCCATATGGCGGCAAATGGTAGAACGATTTTCAGCGAGTGTGATCAGGAAAGTAAGCGGGGTTGCATCTAGCAAACAGGCTGTCGTGGACTAGCAGCGACAGTGTTGCAAGGGTACGGACGGCTGAGGTCTCGAACACCAAATGCTGTGCAGCCCTACGCAAAGTTCGATGGCGACATTGAAATATGTTTCCCTGAACCGACATTTGCTACTTTGTTTTGCCGCCGCTGCCCTGTGGCCCGGTATAGATGGAACAAAAGACTACAGAAAACAGGCTCGATGCAGTAGTTGTCGGAAACCGGCCTGAGTTGATAACCTCCGATACACCATAAAAGTTGAAGCCAGCCTGGGTTCTAGAGCAACGGACCAGGTTACTGAGTATCATTCCTGTACCTTTACTTGATACGGCCGTGGCTACGTGCTTTCTAGCTGACCTCAATGATGTGGCAAATTGTGTTTTCACGCGTGATGATCCCCGCCAACGGGTCTGGCGAGCGCAGCCTACTACTTGCGCCAGCAGCGAAGATCGCACGCTGAGGGTTCGAGAATCACTCAGGGGTCCAGGTAGATCGTGCCGAGTTCGCTTTTGGATCTACCTCCTAGCTCCTATAGGGATGGCGATGTTAAGTTTAGGACGTCTTCCTTGAATTGCCTATGTCCTAGGTTTGCTGTCGCAGCAATTACAGACTGTTCAATTCCAGGGGTGTAGGCATTAAGAGAATCATTCTCACACAGGGTTGGTAGAAATGTCTCAGTTTGCTCTTCATCTTAACACAGGCCCAGAACGTTTGGATTTTCAATGCACGCTGGTTTTTGTGCCGACTGAGGTGACCCCATTGGGTCCGTAGATCTTTTCAATCAATTTCTTATCTTGTTCATGTAGCACTTACTTGCGAAACTCTTTACTTAAGAGGATGAGCATTAACGGTTATGGTGTCTAGTGACGGTAGACGGGCTGAGTCTGTTTAGCTGGCATGAGACGCAAAATAAAGTTCAGTTGTTCATTTCTGTTTCATATTTGTCCGTCAACCCTCCTAAATTTCACCACTTAACCAACTGGTGCAAAACGATAGCGAATTAGGCGTGTGTCCCTTACCGCCACTCGTTATGCTGTCGGGTGTGGAAGGATATGCCTGGCAAGGCCTGCTGGTTAAAGACAAGTCGCATAGGGGTTAATGTCACGCCATATTTACAAGGGTCTGTAGGAGATCTGGTGGGTCGAGATTAGCTAACCCTGTCGGGAAGTTTTGTCCGATCCAGAATAGCGATATTCATCACATGGTCACATTGGCAGTCAGAACGAAGACGGGTTGGTGTGGCAGACTTCTGTCAGGTTTCCTAGGAGGCACTACAAATCTGCCGGTCTGCTAGCCGTTTGCGCACATGTCTGTTTGTAAAGTACTTGACTGGCAAACTTCTGCACAACTGCCACGACCACGATAATTAATGCAGATGCGCAAAGTCTCCTTTAAGTTAGATAACGGCTAGGGCTGAATACGATTTTCGGGCACGTCATCCTGTCTCTGGGCCGTGCGTCAGTAGTGGTAGAGTGTTAATGTTGAGCATCATGCGTTTTTGCGTTAGACGGACATCACCACTTACGGATAGTCCCATTGGCGACCAACAGCCCCAACCGAGATTAGTAACAATACAAACCGTTTCATCCACGTTATTTATCATTTACTCACGGGACTTGCATATCTAGGAGGCGGCCAAAGATGGGAGGTTCAGCCAATTATACGACCCCTACTTGATGGAAAATACTTGCTTTGAATTACTTCGCATGTACTCCCTTGTGTTTTCTGACAGTACCTCGAAGCTCTCCACGCTTTTCCAGTTTCAGCTTCACCTGAATTCTCATCTCTCTTCTAGGGGAAGCACTAATGCACCGAGCGAGGTATCTACGTGATCCTGATGCCTTTCAGAAAGCCAAGGACTACCCCACGCCCAGTTGCGCTCGATTAACAGCAATTTACGGCTGACCTTGACCCCCCTTTATTCTTACCCCCTCTCTTCGTGTGTGTATGTGTGTATTCTTAAGCAGAACACTACCTTGATTTGGACCCCTTGACTCCGCATCATGCGTTCTCGCTCCACCTGTGCCTCTGCCCCCCCCCCCCTCGACTCCACTCTCCCCCAGTGCCGTTTCCCTACCTAGTTCTTTGCCGCTTGCCTTTGCATTCGGTCTCCTCAGTTAGTATCTGTTGTCAGTGATAAAGCCCCATCCTTCCCCTTCTCGCCCACAGAAAAGACCACAACACTCCCCGAGCGGTTGTAAGAACTGTTGGAGAAGTGCGAGAGGAAACGGCTGGGGCAGGGCCACCGCGGTGCAGTCCCCGTTGTTTTTGTCCATATGCCCTTTCCAGAGCTGTGAAGTAGCGACAATGGCAGCCCACACACTTCTCTCTCTCTCTCCTCACCTTCATAAAACTTCTCTGGCTGCTCAAATACACCCACCCATACAAGATTGTCTCCTCGGCCCTCGTCCTCACTCTGGCCGCGTGCTTGCTTCGCGTTTTTTGGTGCCTGCGAATCCGCGGGGTTTGGCTTTTCTGCACCTCTTTTCTCACCTGCTTGCATAACCCGATGGGCTTCTGGCTCCTGTGTCCGCGGTTATTGCTGGTGACTCTCGCCTCCGCCGTGCCTACGCCGTGATTCGGTATAGGTTTGTGGTAGTTTAGGACGGGTCTCCCCGCTGCCAGTGAATACAGGTAGTCTAGACGCGGGGTTGGGGCTCGGATCGCCCGTTTTCTGCCCTTGACTCTCCTTCACCGGCCCCCTTTGACTGGAGACGTCCTTGGCCGTGTCGATGCACAGAAGCAGTGCCCCGCCCCTAGAGGACTGTGCTTCCGCCACATTTTGATTTGCCGCGTCTGCCAGTACCCTCATTTCTGCGGCGGGAGTGTCGACGATCTTCGAGGATGGCGTCGGGTAGGCTACAACTCGTGAGCCGTGGTATCTGTTGCGTTTTGATGGCCGGAT